TTATTATAAAATTTGAAACTTTTTTTTTTATTAATATGATGATTTATTATTTGATAATAGCATAAAAAATATTTAAACAATCTATTCATTTCAATTATGTATATATAATTAATTTCAATTAACTATCAATAATACTTAATAAGAATAAAATTTTAAGATAATATAAATAAAATTTTTAAGCAAATTATTGTAAAATTTGACAATTCTCAATAACATATTAATTTAGTATTAAACAATAGCATAAAAAGTATTTAAAATATCAGTTCATTTCAACTATACACGCGCAAGTATATACACAGATTAATAAAAAGTTTAAAGTTAACATGTGCTGTATCAATTAGAAATATGGTATTTTTTTATGAGATTTAGATAAGCTTTTTTGTTATGAACTAGCTTTATTTTTTGCTTAACATTATGACTTAGATTTTAGAAATGGGTTAAATTCAAAATTTTAATAAAATATTATAGTTTTTTATTTTTAATATGATTTTTAAAAATTATAAAATATGAAATTAAAAAATAATCCTTTAGTGAAAATACATAAATTCATAAACAAAACAACAAAAAACAATATAAAAAAAATGCTAAACTGTCAAAATTTGTCATTGATAATTTTTTAAAATATTAAAAACATTTTAAATGTCAAAAATCATCAATGAAAGACCACTGACTACATTTTAAAAATTGTTAATGATAATTTAAAAAAATAGTTTTTTATAATTTTAAAAATTATATATTTTGGTTTTTTTTTTTTTCAAATTTTTTCATGTTAAAGAAAAGCACATGTTAAAATATTCTACGTCGACTAAGACAAATAATCGTCCTTTTATAAGATTTTTATATAAAAAAAATGAATCAATGAGTTCATTTTTGAATTAAACTAAAAGTTTCAATAATTTTAATTTATTGAAATTTAAATATGCCCTTACCTATTCATTATAGATATAATCTTCTAGAGTATTTTTCCTTTTAATGTTAAATGGCAACACTCCTTGTGCCTTTTTATTCTCATGCTATTTCCATGGGTCAACAACCATCAATTTCCTTATACTGAAGATCTTGTAAATGGTCCAATGACCACGGATCTTGTAAATAGCTTTATACTTAAATCCAAGCCCGTTTATCTGCTCCAATACGGAATCAAAAAGCCCTTTTCCGCTCTACTATTTCTTTTATTTATCCGTTATCTGTTGTAATATACAACATTTACAATTTTAAAATTTCTCTTTAATACAAAAAATTCTCTCTCTCTCTCTCTCTCTCTCTCTCTCTCTCTCTCAACATGTGTGTGCTTTAAACTTTTCTTACTTTAAAATTGCCACCTAAAATGTTAAGTATTCTATACTTCTTTTATGTTCATTTCCTAATTAAAAATAGAGATAAGATATCACTACTACATTTCAAGAGAAAATTGTTTATTTTTTGGTGTAATTTGAAAGACATTATTTTATTAATTTATTTGGTCCTGTTTGGAAGATAGTGCTTTCATGAGGTAAGTGTATGTTTTGACCTTGCTAAAGTTTAGATTTTTCTAATTTGAAATGAAAAAGTGAGTAAAATGAAAAGTTAATAGATTGTCTTTTCTTAATTTCAAAAAATGAATGAAGTTTAGAAATTATTTTAATTTAAATAAAAAAAACTGTTCTTATTTTACAGGCTTAAATTATTCAATATTTTTTTATATATTTTATAATAAAGCTACTAAAGTGAGTCGAGCTCAGTAAATTGACTCAAATAATTTAATAAATATATGAATTGATCCAACAAAATAAAACATTTAAGCATATTTTTGGCTAAAATTGATTTACTTCAATTTGACTTAAATCGATTAAACTAACTAGAAACCTTAGCTCGTTTTAAAAAATGTAAACATATTATTTAACAATGTACACTTATTTTAAATATTTCAATATAGTTAATTTAAGTCTTTTAACATAAGGTGATCAAGTAAAGTATTTAAATTTAATATTTAAAAAATAGTTATTAAATGTTAAGAAAATGGATGAATCGACGAGCCTTAATAACTTGTAGAAAACTACGTTGCGATAGCCTGGTAATTTAAAAGCCCTAACAATCCAAAAATACTCAACCAACAAGTGATTGAGCAAAGGCTTGTCTTTATCAACATTGGTTATGAATACTCAGCATTTTAGACATTTTCAATCATATTAACATTGCACCTTCAATTTCAGACATATTTTGACTCTTCTAAACTGCTTTATTGGAACTGTCACATATTTGAACAGAAACAACTCTGTTGCTTTATTTAAATCAATATTTCAAAAACTTTTACGAACATTGTATAACAAATACGTTCAATCATTTTTAAAAATAAACCATTTATACTTTTAACATAATAAATAATACTTTTATTTTATTTTCTTAATCAATACCTTTAAATAATCATTAACATCTGTCTTAACTTACAATTAACTAGTGCAATATTATAAACTTGAAGTGCTCATATAAATTGCACTGTTATTTGATAACAAGGTTTTGAGCCGTTTGCATTCTTGTTAGAAAAAAAAAATGTTAACATAATTTCTTACAATTAATTTAAATATAATAATTTTTAATAAAAATGTATTACTTTTCTATACTTAAAATTAATGCTGATTAATAGTATACAATTGCCATCACGGGTGACGTCAATAAAGTTCCTATCCTTCCTACCGTGGGAGAGTAAAACACAAAGAAAGAGGATAATGGCAAGTCGACTATCAAAAGCTGACTAAAATAGGTTGACTATTAAAATGATAAAGCATCAGCTTCAAAATATTAAATTATATTATAGATTGTGTGAGTTCAATAATTTTAATAAAAAATTATGAGTAAATATTATATATAAAAATAAAAGCTTTAAAAATCATAGTTAAAATATTTTGGAAAACCTTTTTAATTAAATTTTAATGGGAAATAGACGATTTTAGATATATTTACGACCTTATAATTTTAAATAGATTTTAGATAATATGATTATTATACAAATGCCGATATAATTTTACATAAAAAAACAATATGCCAAACTTTAATGATATCCGATTTTAAAATTAATTAAAATCAACATGATTTAGATATTGATGATTTTTTTTAATACAATTGTTTTGACTTTAATGTTAATGACTTAAATATCAACATTGTTTAGGTTTTTTTTTTCTTCCTAATTTCTTAGTATTTTGAGTAGAATAAAATTTGTTTAAGTGAGTGACTCTTGTTACTAATGTAGTGAAAATGTAAATGGAAGAAGATATTCTTACATGAAACACTTAGATGCTTAAAACAATAAAAGATTTAGGTCAAATTTCTTTCAAAGTAGAAGATGAACGTATTTTAAACTTCGGAATTTTTTTTTATATAGTCAAAGGTTGTCTCATGTTTTAATTTTCAGCCATTACTAAGTTAAATAAGTTTTTCAAAAAGATCAATCAAAAGTATAGTAGATATCATCATGCTTGTTTATGCAGCTCAGATATCAACCATAATATTGATCTAGTTGATTGATTAATGTCATAAAAATAAAATATTTGATGATATCACACTTACATGAATATTTAGGTGGATAAATGTCTTATTAACAGAAATTAGGAGCATGATTTACGTTGATCAATAGAATAGGTCTTGAAGGTTTCATTTAGGATCTGGTATATCTCAATGATGTTAGATTTAGTCGATCCGAGATGAACTACATAAAATAAAAAAGATAAATTTAAAGTCTATATACAAAATTAGAAAGTGAGGGTAATTTTGATTATCTGACTTCAATCAATCATGTTACCCTCAAAGATCGAGTGTAGTTTTTAAGATTTCATAAACTTAATTACTGCCTTTAATGTAATTGAATTAACAAAAAAATTTAGTGATTTACATTAATTAACAATGGCTTAATTATTAACAAATTAATAATGAATTAATTTTGGAGGATAACTTTCAGAATCATCAAGAACAAACGAGTTTATACTAATCATTGCAAGAAATCGATATCTTAATATTTCACCATTTGATATTTATTAATAACTAGTTTATTTTATTTGATATTTATAATTAAACAAAAGAATATTTAATAAACATTTTAAAAATACAAATTTCTTTGTGTGTCTAAAGACGTATATTTAAAAGAATTAAATATATTCTATTAAAGGTTTTAAATTACCATAAAAATATGCATTAAATATTTTTTTATGATTTTGAGAATTATTTTTATTTAATAATTTTTTATATTTTTTAAATATGTCTTTAGATACACATTAAAAATACTGTTAATAATATATATTTTTATATTGATACTAATTCTTCTTGATTAACTAAATTTTTTTTATTAATATGATATTAAAATATTCTTTTTATAATTAATTAAGATAGTTATTTGCTTAAGAATTCTTTAAATGACGTTAAGAAATTTAAATATTGGAGAATATGACAAGTTAATAAAAATGTAAGAAAATGGAATAAAAATATCATACAGCAATCTTAATATATTGAATGGTCTGATAACTGAAGTAAAAAAAGGTGCAATAAATAATATTTTCTTCCAAAATGTTTGGTTTTGTAGGAAACTATAAATAGATGAACCTGGACGTAAAAATCCTCCAGTTCGCGACGCGTTTCGTAGTCAAAGACAAGGTCATCATTTCTAAGAAGCTCATTCTTTGAATTCAACCAAAATAATAAGAATTATGTTAGGATATTTATTAAGACAATTAAATTACTGATTATTTAATTCAACCATTTTTTTATTGATTATTTTTTCTTTCGTTAAAACTTGTATTATTATTTTTAATGAAATAACACTGTTGGTAAGGATATCGATTAAGACAATTAAATTAATTATTTGGTAACTAATTACTTATAACAATTTTTAGACAAAATCATTGAAGTTATTCTCCAATAAATAACTTTCCTAACTATTATTGATAGCAGTATTAGTTTTCTCGAAATTCTAGAACAATACCGGAGCCTCGTATCTGAGTTTTAAATGATATCGGTAATGCCACGGCGCCAGCATGGGTGGTTGCAATAGCAACGGCGAACGGTCAACGAATGTGCCACGTCATTGAGATTCCTTTCACACTTTGCGTTTCCCAAAATAACCTCCAAAATCGAAAAGCCCAATAAAAGGGATCTGACCAATGACGAGGCCCATATTTGCAGTGACTCTCGAACGCAGAAGCAGAGCTAGCACCATTCTCACTATCAATGGCGAAGACCTTCAAGTACATCATCCTCGGAGGAGGCGTTGCCGCCGTTAGTTCCACATCTTCTATTTTCTTCATCTTCACTTTTTACTCTCACTCTCTGTCACTTTTAACTCTCGCTGTTATATCGTGTTGTAACGTACTGATCTTAAAGTTCTAATGCAATTTATGTTTGAAGCCGCGTTCTCGTTGATCCGTTTGAGTTTATAATGGAATCGGAGAACTGAGTTTTAGAATTGAGCGAACCTAGGCGATGTTCCGTTAACGGAATGCGAATAGATCGAATCGTGTTTTTTTTTTTTTTTTTTTCAGTTCTGTGTTTACGGTGTTGGCTTTTGAATACTGTGAGCTTGGATTCCGTAATTGTTAAATCTGAAAACTGTGATCGTTCAGAAAACTCTATGGTTTTTTAATACTGTAGCTAATTACTTTTCGAAATCGCAGGGTTATGCTGCAAGGGAGTTTGCCAAACAGGGACTTAAGCCAGGGGAGTTGGCAATCATATCCAAAGAAGCGGTATAATTCACGGCTCTTAGATAAAACATTGTTTTCTGCTTTTGCTTTTCGCTAATTGAAAGTAGTGGTCTATATCGCTGGATATTATTGATGCTTCTACCGTGCATTAGTGGATTTTGATTGAGTTTGTATGCGTAGTATATGGTTCTCCGGTATGTTTGGAAGATGAGTTTTAGATGAAAAAGGGTTAAATATTTTATTTAAAATTATGAGAGTTAAATAATGGTTATAAGAGTAAGAATAATCTGGCATTTTATTTCTTTTATTTTAAAAATTATAAAATTAGAGAATATTTATTTAAAATAAAAAATCTATCTTTCTCTTTAAAATTCAACTCTCAAACATTCCGAGGCAGTATTTGAATTTATCCTCCATGGTTTTATCAATATATTCCAATACGAACAGTTCTGTTTTCAATTTAGCGCATTGGGTTTATTAAAAGGTGGTACTGCTTTTTCTTGAATTTCTATATTTGGTTGCACCAGTGATCTCCTTACATTTTTTTTTTTTCATATTGTGTCAAGTTTTAATTTATTAAAAGGCAGTTATTTTTTTGCTTCATCTTCTCTTATTTTTTGTATGTCTGTGCAGGTAGCACCGTATGAACGTCCTGCTCTAAGCAAGGCTTACCTTTTTCCAGAGTGTAAGTTTATAATGCTATTATCTGTACATCTATTTCTTTTTCTTTTCCTATCCATTTACGGGTTTAATCTTGGTATCAACGATGATGGATTATTGTTCTGTTTATTGCATTTCTTGAACTTCATTGTTGAGTTGAATTTAATGCTAGTTATGTCTATTGTTTATCCTGGGCTTGTCATCTCTGTTGAATTGTCCATTAGAATTAAAATTTCAGCTTGCCTTGCTTGTCTCACTGAATATTTACCATTGTGCCACAATTGGTTTTTGCAGCCCCTGCTAGACTTCCTGGGTTCCATGTTTGTGTGGGAAGTGGAGGAGAAAGATTGCTTCCTGAGTGGTACAGTGAGAAAGGTGACTTTCGCCTTCACCCCCATTATTTTAGTCAGCTATTTCACTGGATGGTTTTAGGAAGCAAGATTTGTCTACCTTGTATCCAGTGAAAGAAAGAGAAAATTAAATGGAAGAATGGGGCTCAACGACAGTTTTCTAATAGAAATTGCAAATTGACCTGATGATTGCAGGGATAGAATTAATTCTTAGTACAGAAATAGTAAAAGCAGATCTTGCTGCAAAATCTCTGATCAGTGCTGGTGGAGAAACATTCAGTTACCAGATTTTGATTATTGCAACTGGCTCAACAGTAAGGAATAAGGATGCTTGTGGATAATGGAGATGTTACATTCATTGTCCCCGTTCACCTCATACTGATGCTAATAGTATTGTTTATCAGGTTATAAGGCTGACAGATTTTGGCGTACAAGGAGCTGATGCCAAAAACATCTTTTATTTGAGGGAGGTTGACGATGCTGACAAATTGTATGAAGCTATCAAAGCAAAGAAAAATGGGAAAGCTGTGGTCGTTGGGGGAGGATACATTGGTCTGGAGCTTAGTGCTGTGTTGAGACTCAACAACATTGATGTTACCATGGTCTACCCAGAGCCTTGGTGTAGTAAGTGGATGTTTCATTTTTGTACCTCCCACTCTTGTGTCGTTATGCACACGTGTGCATATTCGAATTTAAAAATTTATAAACTAGCATTGTAAACTGATTTTGCAGTGCCACGACTTTTTACATCTGGTATAGCTGCATTCTATGAGGGATACTATGCAAATAAGGGGGTCAATATCATTAAAGGAACTGTTGCTGTTGGATTCACTGCTAATTCCAATGGAGAGGTATGGTTACGTGTGATCTTGAAACCCTGTCATGGGATGAAATTTTTAAGTTCCTGATCAAACTTAGCATGACTTTCATCCATCGTTCAGGTAAAAGAAGTCCAACTTAAGGATGGGAGGGTCCTGGAAGCTGATATTGTTGTTGTTGGTGTTGGAGGAAGGCCTCAAACATCCTTATTCAAAGGGCAGATTGAAGAGGAGAAGGGTGGAATCAAGGTCAGTGATACCATATCCGGAGGCCTGTTGACAGGCGATAAATAGTGATCCTAAGAGTGAATAGTGATTAATGAATCTTATCATTGGTATCAATGATGGCGCTTGTTTTGGTTGCAGACTGATTCCTTCTTCAAAACAAATGTCTCTGATGTATATGCTGTTGGTGATGTGGCTACGTTCCCCTTGAAATTGTACGGTGAATTGAGAAGAGTTGAACACGTTGATCATTCTCGCAAATCAGCTGAACAGGCTGTGAAGGTAGAGTTTCTCTAAATTTGTTAGCTTGTGCACAAAATACATGCATATTATTCCCCTGGCCCTCTTGATCCTGAAGCATTAAATGGTTTCTCTAGCTAATGGAAGTCTATTGTAAAGATCCATTTCTTGCAGTGCTGTTTCTCATTGTGATAACGTGTTTTATTTAGGCCATTAAGGCAGCTGAGGATGGAAAGACAGTGGAGGAGTATGATTACCTGCCATACTTCTATTCCCGTTCATTTGATCTGTCTTGGCAATTCTATGGCGACAATGTCGGTGACACAGTGCTATTTGGGGACAACAATCCCGAGTCATCAAAGCCCAAGTTTGGTACATACTGGATTAAAGATGGGAAAGTTGTCGGGGCCTTTTTGGAGAGTGGAACTCCAGAGGAGAACAAGGCTATTGCTAAAGTTGCTAGAGTCCAGCCTCCAGTTGAGGATGTGGACCAACTTGCCAAGGAAGGCCTTTCCTTTGCTAGTAAAATATAATGGTTTTGTTGGGAAGGATAAAAATGCTGGGTGATTGCACAGATTGTATCTGTACTGTGTTCATTTTACCATGGGTTATTCCTTACAGGAACCTTATTTTGTGTTTTTGGTTTGATGTGGTTGCAAGAGATATGCTTTATCGTGTCTATCCCATTTCTCTTACCACTTTTTGGGTTCTGGTCCGAAAAAGTAATAATTATAGAATAGAAATAAGATTTACATGGCATTTGGTTTGCATGTAGTTTTTAATTCCTGGGAATCTAAGTGCTTATTTGAATTTACATTTGAATAGTCTTGAATTCACATTTGCTTCAACTTTACTCGTTGCAGTTTTTGGTTAGATTTATGTTTACTAGTTTTTTAAACCATTTTCAAATACACAATATAAATTGCTGGATTTTATATTTACCGCAGATGTTTAAATAGTTTTGCATGTAACAGTGTTTCTCATGATTCATGAACGATTTATGCTGTGTTCTCGCACTTTCATACTCATGGGGAGGTGAACTGGTTATGTTCCTACGCAATAAAAATATTGTATGTAAATAATCAAAATGGTAACTTTATCAATCGCAGGAGCATGACCAAACCAATCATCGTTGTTAGCAACTACTGCTGGCCTGGGTAGGGTACTAGGCGCGGTTTGGACAATCCGAAACTGCAAGCGTCCTTTGCACAATCAAGGTGCATACTGCAAAATTCTTTTTTTTTCACAAATAGATTCAGGAAAGCAGGAATTTTAACTTCGATTAGTTGATCTGGCTTTCTGAACTCTTTTAACAAAATGCAATTAAATGAAGAGCAGTTTGCTATAGCTAGGGTTTCCCTAGTGCTGCTCTTTTCCATCTCCATGGAAGTTTCCTTGCCACTTACCATCGTGAGAGTTGCCAACGACATGCTTTTCCCTGTTCCCCACCTTACCCTCTATTATCACTCCCCTCAGTTCAACCGTCTCACATTCACCTTTCCTCATTTTTTTAATTAACATTTCATTAGACTAAACCGATCGGAATCTACAGAAAAAATATAAATAATAAATAAAAAAATTACCTATATATGAATCTGTTTCATATTAACCTTTTCATCGTATTCGGAATTTCTGATCTACTAAGTTTAATAAAATTTTACTTAATAACATTTTTTTTAACGGTAAACATTCACTTTATTCCTAAAATGTACAAAAGCATCGTTTTAAGTCATGTATTTTTTTTTAAAAAATGGTAAAAAAATAGATGCCATAAAAAATAAACCGAAGGAGAGAAAAAGAGGATGGATATTATTTTTATTTTGTATTCTTTTACATATCACTTAATGTAATGAATTACTTAATTATAATTTATTTTAATAACAAAATTAATTGATTAACAATTATTGATTTCAAAAACTAATATTTAGAGGACCAACTTTAATGGTATACATGTTATCATATAAAGAAAGGAAATTTTACATTGGATAAAAGAGAAGGAAAATTGAATGAAATGTCCTTAAACCTCAGGAAATGAGTATTATTTTGCCATTTGTAATATGCCATTAAGAGCTTGGACATAAAATACCCCATCTTTTCAGCTTCAATCTTTCCTATGAATGTTAGCTCCCTATATTCGATTAAACCCTCGGAAGCATCAAGTTAGTAGTTACCCATAAGACATTATAAAGTACATTTGCGTCTGCTCTAATCCCTTTATAAATTCCAGGTTCTGTATCTACCTATCATCACTCTATTAAATTGCATGGAAGACAAATAGGGTTGGAATAGCAACAATAGAGTCACTCACCCATGGATCCAAATCATCTATAATTTGCACGAGAACTAAACCTCTAATTCTATTTTCGCTTAAATTAAAAAAGTTCACTTAAGCGAAGAAGCCAAAATTCTGCAAAGTTACTCTGCTCCCTCCCCCAGTCTTTGCAATCTATTTTCAGCCAACTAAAAACCTAATTTCAAAAAGGGAGAGGATTTAGATCTCACGGACTGGCACAACCACATCCATTTACACGGATCGATACAACCAAACATAATAATTCGAAAATTTTTCAAGTGCTTTTAAAACCAAAACAGTAGGGAATTACATTAATAAATTATATTTGGCATACCAACACCTCCTGGTCTAAGTGACAGAGCTTGGTTTTCCGTAAAGTTTACCCGGCTATTTGTCAAGACCCAAAGTGATTATACATACCGATTCTTACGCAAAAATACTATATTAAGCGCAAAATTTCATGGCATAAATTTATTAACTTGTTACTCCTACATCTGAAATAATAATTATAGTCAAAATGTAAAAAAGGAACAAGCTTGTCCGTGATTAACCAAAACGAAACTCCGTAACATTGAGTAACTAAAATATCAAACCAAATTCATCCAACTTAGTTTATCATTGAAATTAAATCACACTACATTACTCTTTAGAACAAAACTTTGACACACTCAGAAGCTCTAGAGTTAATACAAAAGCTGAATAGACTACACCAATTAATCAAAGAGACTGAAACCCATATCCTGCATCACAAAACAAATCAATGGATAATCAGTGAGAAAATTTTCAGATTCTAAAAATCCACACATGCTTGCAATTTGCACACTAATTGGAAGCAAGGCAATATAGACAGCTACTTCAAGAGAGGAGTGCTAGCACCATACTCTCTAACACGACCTCATGAAATTTATTGAAAAATATAAAATTATGGGTGAAAATCATTATATCAAGATTGAGTAAGATCCACATGATTTTTGTGATTTTAAATAAATTTTAGCCAATAATATAATTCATGAGTGTCTAAGCAAATATTAAAAGCAGTATGCATAAACCTTATCATGCTTTAATCCAAGTCCAACCAACAAGTAACTCGGAACCATTTCCAAAAATACAATTCTAGTTATAATAATAGGCTCACCAAAAAACCACAAGTTTATGAACACTTACATCATCAGATTCCTCTTTCTCCTCCACTTTTTCCTCTTTCTTTGGCTCGGCAGCCGCTGGAGCAGCAGCACCTCCACCAGGAGCAGCGGCGACGGCAACGGCACCACCGCCACCAGAAGGCACAGAGGCCAACTTGTCTCTACCAGCCGCAACAACCTCAACTACATCTTTACCCTTAATTTCAGACAAAAATTGTTCAATCTTTTCATCATCTGCTTCAGATCCAACTGCAAATCACACAAAACAACAACTCTCTATCAGTAAAAGCTTATTAAACTCTCCATAATCTATACATTTTGAGACTTATGTTACTGTATCAATAACAAAAAAAAAGCCACTTTAGCAAAATATTATATTTATAAAAATACAGAAAAGCATCACGCATAAACTTTCAAATATTACAACGTAATTAAAAGCAACAGAATATGAGCTACCTAAACATAATTACCATCATTCATCCAACAAAAAAGAAACCAATAAAATAAAATAAAGAATAGATAATGAAGGAAGAAAAGAATGCACCGCAGCCAAGGATTTCCTTGATGTCGTCGGAGGAGGGGCTGTTGTTGCCTCCGAGCACGGCCAGCAAATACGCTGCGATCACCTTCATCTTTCTGCAAAGTCACGCGCTGTGAGTAACACTGACAAACACTCAGAGAAGAGAGAAAGTTAAGAAGCGAACCAAGAGAAAGAGCAAACGGCGACGTCAAAGTTCAATCACCCTAAGCACAACGAATGGTATTGTTGTTTTAGAAGCAGTGTGTGCTAGGGTTCGTAAGGACACTAACCGGGTCATGGGCTTTCTTACCCGCACTCGTATTTTAAATAAGGCCCATATAGGACCACATATGGGCTAGTAATAAATAACATGGATGGGCCTTTCACAATTAATGGACCCTTTATTTTGTTTATTGACCCGTAAACACAAACACCTCTCACTCCTGAATCTTTGAGTTTCGAAGGTTGTGTTAGAAATTGGTGACAACATACCTGAATATCTGGCAGTTATTGATTCAATTTATTCCTGCTAACAATAATAATATATTAAAAACATTGAATGTTACGGTTTTTAATTTAAAAAATAATGTTAAAATATCTATTCACAAGTATTCTCAAGATAATGATTAATAAAACTGATTTTAAATTTTAACTTTAACTAAAAATAATTTTAAAAATACCTAAAAGATTGCATTTAAATTTTGTTTTTTATATTAAAGCAACTGCTAATTGATATGTTAAGACATTGATTAATAAAATAAAAATACTTCTTTATTAGAAAATGTAATAACATACTTTTTCTTTATTTAACATGACTTTTAATAAAGTTTTCTATTTATTGATATTTTAACTAATGCCTTGATAGCAACTTCAATGGGAATTTTATAAAAATAAGTAACTGTTGTACAGTGAATTGCAAAATTAAAGTTATTAACATATAAGAGAGAAAATGAAATGCATTGAAAATTTGCTTATGCAAGTAATTGATTATTGTGTTTGAATCTATATCTAAAATATCAGTATGCTTATTCAATTAACAAATGAAGCGAGAACACAAAATAAAAAAAAAATATTCTGAAATAACTAATTTGATAATATATTATTATAAAGAACTAACAAAGTAACACATTGATATTTGAAATATTAATTTAAAAATTGTATGAATTACATTTAAATTATAAAATTTTTGAAGAACTATAATTAAATTTAATTATTTATTGAAAAATTAAAATATATTTAAATTTATATTATTCAGTGGTCAAAAGAACGAGACAGAAAGTGATGTAATGGAATGGACATAATTACTTAACGTAAATTATTATTTATAGATTAGCATAATTAATTAATTAATTAATTAATACCTACTAAGTATACTTTATATCAAACTATTAGTAGCTATTTGGTTTTTAAATTATTTTTTTTTATTTTTGAATTCACAAAATCATCACATAATTAATAATTAATAATTAACGGCTGAATAAACCAATTTCACAATTTATGAAAAGTTATTAAATAATTAATTTTAAAACAAATACTAATTTATACGTACTTAACAATTAAGTCTAATTTTTAGCGACGAGGCCTTTCTACTTAGGACCAAAACCAACCACTCTCATCTTTTTTTCTTATTTTCAATGGTCCGTGCTATTTCTTGAGGCAAAATTTGTTTTTTGAATGAATAATAGGATGAAAGTTTATTTTTTTAAAACAATGTGGTTAAAAATAAATTTAATTTAATTAGTGCCTAATAACTCCCAAAGTTTTAGTCAATATCTATCACTGTTAAGAAGATAAACATTTGGTGTTTTCAATTAATTATAAGGGATAAATGCCAATTTTATATTATTTGCCGTGCTGAGAAGATGAAAAAAAAAAACAAACAAACAAACTAAGAATATTTAAGGGTTTTTGGGTTTAGTTTTTTTTTTTTTCACTGTCATCAATGTGATTTGTTTTACATACAGAAATCAAAAGTAAAAAAATATCTTATAATTATTAATAAAAACTAAAGAATTATTCTGTCAATTAATTAGAGTTCAAAATTTGCTGATGCAAAGAAAATAAAAAACAGGAATAGCTTCAAACACCATCACACACGCACACCTAAATTTACATTAGAATAAGATCCATTCGGTATAAATATAAATAAATGTATATTTTATGAATGATAAAGTTTTTTAACCTGGTTGTTGAGTATATGATAAATTCCGGACGTTATTATACAGAATGTTATACTTCTTCCATACTTTTTATAAGAAATAAAAAAAAATTCTTTTAAAATGTATTAATTGTTTAATTTTTTTATATTCTTTTTTATTAATATAATTAAATATATAAATTACTAATTACATTATTTAATATCATGAGTATTTTTAAAATAATATTTATATTTATAAAAAGTATAACATATTTAGTTACTTTTGTTGATTCTGGTGATTTATCTTTTATTTCTTATAAAAAATCGAAAATATAATTTAATATTTATAAATATCTAATATAATAAAAAAAATATTTATATTTCTAATTAACATGATATAAGATATGAAAATAAAGTAAAATGTTAATTAACATTTAAACTGTATAAATTTTGTAATAACTTTCTTTACTTTGTAACGGTTTTAATTCAATTTTTATATCAATGAAATTGACCATTTAAACAAATAAAAAGTTGTGAAGATAGTTTAAAATTTGATTCGATAAAATTAACTAAAAGTTGATAAAGAGAGGAATTAAATTACACTTATTTGGTAAAAATAATTTTATAATTATTTGACATATGTTAAATGAATCAAAAAGAATAAATATTATTTTATATAAGTAAATTATTTAAAAGGTTAAGAATAGAAGTGAAACAAAAATCATTAAAATGTAGTTTTTATTCATATGAATGTTATTTGAATAAAATTTTTATAAACTATCTTTATTTTTATTTACTAGGTACCTCTATTAGTTTATTAAAAAATGTATACTTTTTAAATAAACCATAAAATTGTATTACCAAATATAGTTAATGTTTTTTTAAATAAAATTAACTAAAAATTCATAATTCGTAACTTATCATTAATAAGTTAGTTGAACATTTTAATTTATAATTGAAAGCTTATAAATTATAACTAGTTGATTGAATTAAAATTATTTGATAAAATTAGTTGTACAATCAGTTAAAATGTGTTAAATGATTATTAAAATGTGTTGATGTTATTTTGTATGAATATAAATTGTTTAAAATATAAAAAAAAAAATTCTAATAAGCTAAATACACATGGACTAACTTCTCACAAAATAACTTTCAAAGTTATTAGTTCATTTTAAAAGTTATAAATTACTTTTTTTAAAATAACTCTTATTAAAAAAAACACACAAATTCTTAAATAAGTTATAAATTCATGTTATTAAACACACTTTCATAAGTTTTTAAAACTTATTTCTATTGATATACTTACAATAATGATAATCAAACCTTATCTTATTAAGTGATGTCAGTTATACGAATTATTTAACTTATTTTAATAATATTTATAAATAAATTTATAATATAAACTTTTACATGATAAGAATTTATTAAACATTTAACTAAATTATGTATCCCAAATATTGTAACTATGAACAATCTAATTTTTTAAGTCAACCGTTCATTTATGATTATGCAATTAAAAAATAACTCATCTCACCTCTCTCTCTCTCTCCCGTCACTAACATGTCTCCTTCTGTATCTAGAGGTTTCGCAGAGCATGAAGGAACGTAAATCAATATTCTGATGGAGTGTATTCAGATTATAATTGAATTGATAGCCAATTACAGGGTTTGGTGGTTTGGATTTTCCACTATGTCGCTGTCCATTTTGTATTGTATAGCATTAAAAACAAATCAAGTTTTCATGTTTCAAGGATCTTTATTCCTTTCTTCCTTGTCGTTTGTCATTCACATCGTAAGCACCTTTTTTCTTTGTAACACAAAACCAATAGTAATATCCCTGCCATGTGAAAATTAAGACCATTTATTTTCGCATCTATAGTCGGACTTATGAAAAACTCAAATGTTGCTATATATAATGGTATACAACCAAGACACTTATACCCAACATTTTGACACTTGAGTGATATATTACTAGTGTCGAACTTTTATATTCGATATCATTTTGCCTCCATAACAAGATGTGCTTATTTGTTTTCATTTTAACACGATTATATATTCATTAAAGAGATTAATATATGTATGAAACAAGTTTCTAAAACTCATTTTAGGCGATTTTAACACATCTATTATGTATTGCTGTTGGTAATGTATATTCCCTTTTCTTAGTGGATATATGCAATAGCTTTTTCATGTAACATTAAAAACATTGTCGGCAAGGTTGGAGCTAGGGTACTTTAATTAAAAATAATAAGTTTAATTATAATTTTAGTTTTTATGCTTTAGTCAATACGTTATTTTACTCTTTTTAATATTTTGATAACTACTTTCATTTTAAATACATGCTAGGATTCTACTTGATAGTGAATTCATTTTCAGATGCTCATGAAACTTATCCAATAGTGGGGTATTATATTTTATTGAACAATGTCAGAGAACAAGTTTGCCCTGAGAGTGAACATCATCAAGGCAACACAGGCCTGAAGTACAATGCACTTAAAAAAACAAAAGTAAAAGAACATTGACTTCGATTAAAATAGATGATTATTTCCTCTAATCAGGTCATTAATTATTATTAGTTTCTTGCATCAGTATCAATTAAAAAGTACTATGTGGGGGTGGATTACTCTTTGGTTTGAAACCTACCCTTTTTATTAAAATAGGAAACGATATTAGCCAGAACGACTAGAAGAGGATGCGCGTGAAGAAAACAGAGCATTAGAGCAACGTTGAACTTGAAAAGCGAAAATTCAATAATCGAGAATTCACATTTCACGTGGCAAGTGCCAACTATTTTATTTCCCTTTTGAGGAAGAAGATGCAAGGTAAAACCTCCAAAGAAAACGCAGCACAAATTTGACTGTAAAACCCACCCACTGCATGCACGTGCCACATGTATGTATATAAGACTGTTCTGTTTTTTGTTTTTCAAGTAGATCAAAACCTTAATGAACAGATAAGAATCTCTATAAGATAACGATTCAAATTTAACAAAGGTTGCAATTTATTTTTGTTGAGATCTACCACTGTTAATAACAATTTTTAAATCATTAAAAATGAAAATAATGCTAACTTATTCAGTAAACTTGGATTGCAATTCTAACAAATATAATAATTTAAGTACTTTAAAAATAATTACTACGCGCAATG